ATATATAATATATATAAATATATGAAAAATTGATGTGGGTACTCAAATGAAAGGTCTCGATGAGTGTGATGTCGGAATGAGCATATATCTTTAAAAATGTCAACAGTTGACAAGATACAATGTCATTTTTTAATTATTGACATTTTTAAAGAGATAAACTCATTTCGATGTTATACTCATCGAGACCCTTTATTTGAGTACCCACATGCTATTTTTCATATATTTTATATATTTATATATTTCACAAATACCATATATATAAAATATATCAAGAATGCCATGTGGGTACTCAAATGAAAGGTCTTGATGAGTGTAACATCGAAATGAGCTTATATCTTTAAAAATGTCAATAGTTCTCAAGATACAATGTCATTTTTTAATTATGTATCTAGAGATAGAAAATTTTCGAATGCAGCCTAAATAATTATCATACAAATTGATTATCGGTGAGAATGACATTATATATGAAAACTTGAAAAGGCATAAATTCACATCAAGACCTTTACAATGACCCTAAATTTCAGTAGAAACCTGATTTTATCTGATGACTATCCTGGACACAAAATTTTTAATTATTTTCTTAATAATATAGATTTATTGGGTAAAGAAATAAAATTTTAAACAAATTAATTTCTTATTAAAAATTCGCTTATTTTTAAAAAAAATTACTTTTTTTTTTGTATAATAATAATAATAATAATAATAATAATAATAATAATAATAATAATAATAATAATAATAATAATAATATCATGGAATAATTAATTTTCTGAAATAAATTTTACAGTCGACAGCTTGCTAAATGTATCATCTTCTATATCAACCTGCGTCTGGCTGGCAGCTTCGCTATTGCACTTAAATTTAGACCCATTCTGCAGCAAATATTTGGACAAAACACTAGCAAAATTACTGAGCGGCGGCAGAGCGGCGATGGTTATCAAATTGCTGCATAACGTAATGTTCGGGTCGAAATCAACGCGGAAAAACTTGAGCACAATAATCCAGGATGACGAAAAATACTTGGGAGCAAAAGAAGGACTCCACAATCTGCTGCCCAAGTGGTTTTTTGTCCTACGTAATGACAGCTGGTGTGAATTAATGGATTCGCTTTTGGATCCTCTGCAAAATGCTCCTCTAAACAAACATCTCGCTTATGTTTTAATAGACCAAATTGTTCTAACACTTTTTCCCGAATTGTCTCGGTGAGATTTATATATTTAATTTTAAAAGCAATATTTATTTTTACATTCCAAATATTTTTTGTACATACTGCTCAATTGTAAATAAGTTGCTGTGGTCACGGCATTTTATTTTTATTTTTTTAAAATATTTTTTTTGAATTTTTAATAATAATTATTATTATTATAAATAATAACTCGCATGGTGATAAATAAATATTTAATTATTTATTTAAAGAATTATTTATTTACAACATTTACACACTATTTATTTATTTATTTATATATTATCAATTTTGTTTATTTTATTTACGTATATAATAAACATATTTATAAATAATACATTTAAAATACACATCGTAATCACGATGTGCTATTTTTAATGTAAGATATCAGTCTTATAAAAGAAAATAAAAGTGAATACAATAATGTTTTATTAAAACATTTAAAGTGTCTTAAAATATTATCTGTGCTTAAAAAAAATTTCAAAGATAAGTATTAAAAGCATCAAACAATTTATCATCACAATCTCTTAAAGTTATAGTTTATATAACATTTAAATATCTAATATAATAATTTATAATTACAAATGCATTTATTTAATTAGTTTAAATAACAATATATTATTTTTAATAAATATTTAAAAATACAAACTTTAAATAATTATTTATTATAAATAAATAGTTCAAATTGTTGATATTACAGCGAATATATTGGTTTTATAAAAAAGATTTTTAAAAAAAGTTGTTTAAAATTTCATTTTGGAAAAAAAACTGTTTAAAAAATTTTTTTTATAAACTAATACTTATTCATAATATCAAAAATTTGAATCATCAATAATAAAAGGTTCAAATTTCTTTCTATAATTATGAATCTTACTTTTGAAATTAGATAAAAAATATTGATTTAAAAAAAAAACATCGTAAGAAACACTTTTTTTTTCCAAAATAAAATTTTGGACAACTTTTATCTCAAAAATTTTTTTTATAAAACCAACACTTTAGCCATAATATCCAAAATTTGAATCATCAATAATAAGAGGTTCAAATTTTTTTGATAATTATGAATCTTAATTTTGAAACTACAGAAAAGTATTGATTTTTAAAAAAAATCATTTTTTTTCCAAAAAAAAAATTTTGAACTTTTATTTCAAAAATTTTTTTCTAAAACCAATACTTTAGTCATAATATCAAAAATTTGAATCATTGATATTGAAAGGTTCAAATTTTTCTTAATATTTACAAATCTCACTTTTAAAATTACATCCAAAAATATTGATTTTTTTTTTTCAAATCACCTTTTTTCTCCAAAATAAAATTTTGAACAACTTTTTTTCCAAAAATTTTTATAAACCTAATACTTTCCTCTAAATATCAAAAATTTTAATCATCAATACTAAAAGTTTCAAATTTTCCTTAATATTTATAAATCTTACTTTTAAAATTATCTCAAAAATATTGATTTTTTTTAAAATCACCTTTTTTCTCCAAAATAAAATTTTGAACATCTTTTTTTCCAAAAATTTTTTTTAATAAACCCAAAACTTTTTTCATAATATCAAAAAATTGAACCAACAATTATGATCTGTTTAAATTTCCTACAAAAATCTTTACTACTTAAGATTTACTACCTGGTAAATCACTAGAAGACCTCTCGCTGCCTCCACCCAGTTCAATCTGAATTTGTTCTAGCGTCTTCCCCTTGGTCTCAGGAACAATAAAGAAAACAAAAGCTACGCCAATCGCACAGATAATCGAAAAGATCCAAAAAGTCATATCAGTCCCCAAAGCATCCTGAATATCACTAAAGAACTTAGTAACAACAAAAGCCATGAGCCAGTTGAAGAGACAAGCGCTGCTTCCAGCGACACTCTTGACCTGGTTATCAAAAATTTCCCCCATCATCATCCAGGGAATGGGACCGAACCCTAGCGAGAAGAGAATGATGAAGAGACAGATGGAAACTAGAGGCAGCCAGCCGATGGAGTCGACCCCGGCGGTGTTGTGGATCTTCATGTTGAAGTAGACTCCGAGGACGAGGGTAGTAAGACACATGGCAACGCTGGAGATCAGGAGCAGCATTCTCCTGCCAAGTCGGTCGACAATCAGCGTGCTGACGAAGACAGCGACCACTTGCATGGTTCCAACGATGATTGTCGCTACGCTGGAGTTCAGGGTGCTTCCAGCGGTTTCGAAGATGGAGCCAGAGTAGAAAATAATCGCGTTGACTCCGCTGAGCTGCTGGAAGAACATCAGCCCGAAAGCGATCATCAGTCCCTTAATCGCCGCTTTTGAGCGAATTGCGGTAAGAAAAGACACTTTATTGCGGCTCGCTTCATCCAGGGCTTCCTTCTGGGCTTCCAGTTCTGGCTCGATGTTGTAATGCGGTCCTCTGAGCCACCTGTAGCTCTCTCTGGCTTCGTTGATCTGGCCCTTTATTAGGTAGTAAAAAAAATTATGTTATTTTAATTGATCAAGGATTTTAATATTCAATTAAAACTTTTACCCAAACTATTTTGATTTAAATTAAAATATTATTGCTATTAAAAAACATAAATATGCTCTTTGGGTAAAAATTATCAGGATATCAGGAATCTTGATCAATTTTCCGACAAAATATCCCCGAGACTAAATATCACACAAAAACCATGATAAAAGGGCATAATACATAACGGCAACAAGCTTATGTCCTACACGGAAAGAACAAGATTATACTGGATATAATCCCAGATTATACTGAGTGAAAAAATTTTCAGATAGTAGCTAGTATAATTCAGATAACAATGAGTATAATCCAGATTACAATGAGTATAATCTAGATATTATTCACTATAATCTGGATTATACTGGGTGCCATCTGAAATTTTTTTCGCCTCAGATGACACTGAGTATAATCTGAGATGGTATCCAGTGTCATCCTGTTCTTTCCGTGTACTTTCCAGATTAGTTTTTTGAGAAATTTTGCAAAAATCATTTCTTTCAATTATTAAGATATCGATACTGCCATTCTAATACGTCGTATCTCACAAAATTTGACAAATTGACTTTTTTTTTCAAAAATGGAATCATAACAATATTATGCAAGCATATTAAAATTTTTAAAGTCAAATAGTTTAATAACTAATTTTAAATAAATATATGTTCATCTGTCAAATCCCATTTAATCAATGTTAAAAATGAATTGTTTTTACCGTCTGCCACTTAAGTTTTTACGGTAGTACTTATGGATCTTTCATAAACATGGCCAAGAAACTCCTTTTGGAGTCTAATTAATTCAGAGTAATTCTATTTAATTGAATAAATTAATTATCTTTCCATTCTTTAGAATCCCGATAAATCTCAACGGATAAACTATATATTTTTGTTAATCTTTAAAATAAGAAATTATCATTTTTCTCTTCTTTCATTTTCTTTGAAATTATAAATTTATAAATTATGTATTTTCTTTTTTTTTTTTGTAATACCGTAGATGTATATTAATAAATAAATAAATAAATTACATCATGTAATTGATTGAATAGTCAATATAATTCATATTATAATTAGTATAATTTTGAATATTATTGATAATTAATTTTTTGGTAACAATTAATTTTGTCGTATTCTTTGTTAATTATCATCTGATTTCCTTTTGTTGTATTTGTAATAATAGCCAATATTTTAAATTTTTGCTACAAATATTTGTTAAATGCCATTTAATAAGTATTAAAATAAAATTGATAATTTTTTTTAAATTCATTGTTTTTAATTGTTTTATTAAAAGGTTTAATTGTTTAAGATATTTTGTCTAGGATATTTTCTACAAATATTTGTTAAATGCCATTAATAAGTTATTAAAATAAAATTGATAATTTTTTTTAAATTCATTGTTTTTAATTGTTTTATTAAAAGGTTTAATTGTTTAAGATATTTTGTCTAGGATATTTTGTCCGAGATATTTTGTTGGAGGATCAAAAATTATGGAACCAAAAAAATAATTAATTAATTAATCAATTTAAAATTAATTAAATTAAAAAAAAAAATTTTCTACTACACGGAAAGAACAAGATGACACTGGATACCATCTCAGATAATACTCAGTGACATCTGAGGCGAAAAAAATTTCAGATGGTACCTAGTATAATCCAGATTATACTGAATAATATCTGGATTATACTCATTGTAATCTGGATTATACTCATTGTTATCTGAATTATACTAGCTACTATCTGAAAATTTTTTTCATTCAGTATAATCTGGGATTATATCCAGTATAATCTTGTTCTTTCTGTGTAGAAATAAAAATTTCTAAATCAAAATAAAATTATTTTTACCTTCATCAGGTAGTACGTCGGCGTCTCGGGCATGAAGAAGAAAACTCCGCAGAAAATCAGCGGAATTATCGCAGAGATCAGCGACAAATTGAAGATTGAGATTTCAGAGCCCAGGATATAAGTCACCAGGATACCTGTGACCATCATCAGCTGGAAGTAGGACCCCAGACTGCCTCGAATTGAGCTTTCCGCGATTTCCCCGGTGTACATCGGGGCTGTTACGCAGAAAGCTCCGCCGCTCACTCCCAAAATGTAGCGCCCGATGTCAAACATCACCACGGAGTTCGACCAGATTATTAGCACCCACCCGAGGACAAATGGCACTGTTAGAATTAACATCGCTCGCTTCCGCCCGATTATGTTGCTGAGGATCCCGATTGGTACGCAGATTGTCGCGGCTCCCAGGTTGAATATCGAACCGATCCAGGAAAACTCTGTTGGTGATATTGGGATTTTGTATTCTGCCGAGAGTAATACTCCGTCTTTTCCAGCGGGTGAGGTCCATCCGAGGACCATTCCCGCTGCGAGAGCTCCTAGTGTTGCTGCTAGACCCGCTATGTACTGCGGAAGCTTTCGGCCGCTGTTTTCATTTTCGCTGGTCGCTGAAACTAGCGTTTGTTGGGATATTCCGAAGTTTTTTTCAACCATTCTGCGGTATTGGCCTCCCACTAGTGGGGTTCTTTCTGTCACCTGAAATAATTTATTTTATTGTTATTAATAATGAAATTATATGACATTTTTTGGATTTTTTTGGTTAAATTATTATGAAAAAATTTCACATTTGCAAATTAGAAAAAAATTACAAGTGCAAATTTTTTTTTATAATTAATTTTTAATAAAAATCAAAAAAATTTACAGATTTTATGATTATTATTAATAAATGACCTTGTATCTTGTGAACTATTGACATTTTTAAAGATATAAGCTCATCCTGACATTACACTCATTGAGATCTTTCATTTGAGTACCCACATCAATTTTTGATATATTTTTTATATATACATGTATGTAATATATATAAAATATATGAAAAATGCATGTGGGTACTCAAATGAAATCTCTTAATGAGTGTAACATCGGA